GTGGCTTTAGTCGTGGAATATAATATTCTTGTCGGACCATTTGTTGCATGAGGCGATGTTCGGCATGTAGCATTAATAAGTGGAGAAATCTGAGGTATAGTGTTGCAAATGAGGATTTCTCTGGTATTATTATGGGGTGGCGTTCGTTATATGTGAGGCTGGAGTTCGCTAGCCGTCCATTAGCACGAAGCAGACCTTTCGTGTCTAAAAATGGATTGAGTACTAAGAGTTGACTCTTTTTATCAATTGGTTTTGATTCTCTTAGCAGTAATATTTCGCGGCTGAAATAGCGCGTTTGAGTGTATGCAACAAGGGAAACCTTTGCTTTTTGTAGGTCTTGATGCGTTAACATGTTATCTGGGGAATTCGGTGTTTTCTTCACCTTATTTTTGAGGCGCTCTACGAATTTGAACATATAGGCGACTACCTTTAGGGCACGGGGGAACGAGGAAAATCGTTCTAGTATGTCATTGTCATCCAGTATTGTGTGAAAGGTTTCAACTTTTCGACTTTCTGGGGCAATTATGTTGCGTATGGGGGATTGTGGCCAGAATTGTTGTGATTCTATTAGCCAACTGGGGCCGTTCCACCAGAGTGAGGTGGTGGCGAGGTGCAAGGGTTTGCAACCTCTTGTGCCAAGATCGGCGGGGTTATCAGCACTGGCTACATGTCGCCAAGTTGCCGGCCCAACTAAATCAAGTATTTGGGCTGTGCGGTTGGAAACATATGTTTTCCATGAGTGGGGTGGTTTTTCTAACCAAGCTAAGACGATCTCTGAGTCTGACCATAGATATAATTTTTGACTGGTCATGTTTAAATGCGTTTGCACAGTTGAGGCTAATTTTGCGAGTAGAAGCGCGCCACACAGTTCAAGTCGTGGTAGACTTAGTGTTTTGAGAGGTGCCACTTTGGCTTTTGCTACTAACAAATGGCTTGAAATTGTGCTGTTAATTTGGGTGCGCACATATATAGTTGCGCAATATGCCTTTTCAGAGGCGTCGCAGAAGCCATGCAGTTCTACTTGGTATTCGGGGGAGTAATTTACCCATCTAGGGATTTGTATCTCTGCAATAGCGTGCAAGTTGTTAGCAAATTGGGACCATTTTACCAAGCGAAGTGGTTTCACTTGCTCGTCCCATTCGGTTCCGTCTAGCCATAATTCTTGTATCAGGATTTTCGCTTGTATCATAACTGGCGAAAGCCATCCTGCGGGGTCAAAAAGTTTCGCTACAGCCGACAGAATTTGCCTTTTAGTTATTGCGGATTGAGCAAATATCGACTCAAGAGTATATGAGAATTTATCTGAGATCGCATTCCATTGTATGCCTAGGGTTTTTGTTGTACTTTCCTTTTCGAATATTAGGAAGTTTGAATCTAATAAACTTTCTTTATTTATATCTTTTAGGATTTCAGGGTGATAGGCGGTTATCTTTTTTAGGGGGAACCCTGCTGACTTGAGGGCTTGTATTACTTGTGATAGTGCTTCGTACGCTTGGGGTAAGCTGTGGCTTCCAGACAGGATATCATCCACATATGTTTGTGTTTTTAACACCGGGGTTGCTAGGGGTAATTTTTCTTTTATATCGTTTGCCAATTCGTGAAGTGTTCGAATGGCAAGAAAGGGGGCGCAATTTACGCCAAATGTCACCGTTTTGAGTTTATAGTCACATATTGGACTATTAGGTGAATTTCGAAATATAATGCGCTGAAAGTCTTGATCGTCTTTATGTACGAGTATTTGTCGATACATTTTTTCGACGCCTCCGTTAAATACGTATTTGAACATAC